AATTACATTAAAAATTGTGGACATACTGTTTGCTTAGGTGGCTAAACACCTAGTCTTGTGGACTGGAATTAAGAGGTAACAACTCTAGTCCTGCATTCATAATATATTTGTAAAATTGGACCTATATCTAAGAGCCCCTAAAGAATAATGTCATATTTCAGGTAATGGGCCGAACAACATTCTATTACTTGTTTATATTTTTAATAGTGTTCAAATTTGAGACTGTTGATTTGCGGGTCAAGGTTATTATTTTTTACTGGGCTAGCCACCATATTTATTAATTCATTGTTGTTTCATTTATTTGGGTTAAGTCTATTACCTAAACTAAATTTCCAGCTTCATTCATTCTCATTAATTAACTAATAAGTTTTCTTCGTAGGAAAGAAAAGGTTGCATACAAAGAAAGTTAATATCACATTTAAAAATTATGTAAGAGACTGGAACTTTGACAAATATAACAGAAAACATAGTTAATATCACAATATATCAAGTGGGTAACACATTTCCGCATTGTTTCAGAAAGGGATGCCACGATGGGTTGAATATATAGTCCTTCAATAAACTTCGATTAAAATACTGATGTGCTTGCAAAGGACAAGATCTTGAAAGCAAAGCCATTATGACTCTATTGTTTGCTCAAATTACTCTAATTACTTTTGTGTTGCGCTTGTACTCAAAAAAATTCCTCGATTAATTTTCAGAATTAACTAGTTATTTATTCTCATTGCAAACGAAATTTTTTTTTTCCTCCATTGATGAGTTGTAGGAGTATGAAAAAACATGTAAAAGGAAAATCCTTGACCTCTTAACCAAATATCGTTATCATCATGAGGGAAATATCAAGTAATTGCCTGCATATTTCCTTGAATTAAATCTCACCACAGTTTTACCAAGAAAGCAACCATCCAAATAACTCGCCTGATCCAATCAAAAGAAAGCACTCATTGAAAAGCAAAAAGAAAAAAATTCAAAAGAAAGCACTCATTGAAAAGCAAAAGAATCATGTAGCTTTCTTTTATGGGGTTGTTCCTCCCTCTTTCATAATTTTTTTTTTAAAAAAAAAGAAAAAGAAATGACTCCCATTGGTGAAAAGAGAAAACGTGTGCTCACCACTACACGGTTTCTAAGTCTCTTTCTGAGGCTGCTAGCTTTGTTTCTTCTTGTTGGTTTCTTGGCTGATCTTGAGAAGTTGTATATTTTGTGAGGTTCTGGCTGGCTTGCTGGTCTTACAAATTCTCTGGCTCTGTAATTTTTTCGGTGTTGAGGTAACACTAAGCTAAACTTGTTGGCTTGCTTCGTCCACATTTCTATTTTGTTCAAGTAACATTAACTAAGCATTGTTTTAGATGGCATTATATTTTTGTTTTAAATGTTGGAATTCGTATTTTTGTTCCTTCTAATGTTTATATGTTGAATTCCTCTGTTTCTCTCTTGTTGTTTCCTCATCGTCCTTATTTCTACTCTGTTTTAAATTTTAATCCTTTTCTTTTTTTCCGTTTCTCATCATCTTTCTATTTAGTTAGCAAAAGGCTTATTTTCATTGAGTGTTTTCAGCAGCAGCAGATTGCCTAATGGCATTGAGCACCCAAAGAGACTCTGCCTTTCTTCCTTCACCTGATCAGTCTGCTCCTCAACCGAACCACGATGTGTTTTTGAGTTTCAGGGGTGAGGACACTCGAAATAGCTTTGTATCCCATTTATACCACGAATTGCAGCGCAGGGGCATTAAAACATTCAAGGATGATCGTGAGCTTGAAATAGGGACACCTATTTCTTCAGAGCTCATCAAAGCAATTGAAGAATCAACGCTTGCAATCATTGTTCTCTCGCCAAATTATGCATCTTCTTCCTGGTGCTTGGATGAGCTTACAAAGATTCTCCAATGCATGAAATCCAAGGGCACAATTCTGCCAGTGTTTTATCATGTGGATCCCTCCGATGTGAGAAAACAAAGCGGCAGTTTTTCGGACGCCTTCACTGAGCATGAGAAAAGGTTAGGGAAGACATCGATAAGGCGAAGCGCTGGAGAGATGCTTTAACAGAAGTAGCCAATTTATCTGGGATAGATTCAAAGAATGAGTAAGCATGAATGAACAACTTCTCTATGTCTTAACAAAACCCATGGCTTATATTTTAGACTGCATGATCCTTTTACTTTTCCTCCTTGTAGGTGTGAAAGAAAGCTTATTGAAAATATTGTTGAACGGGTGTGGATGAAAGTACATCGCAGATTCAAATTGTTAGATTCCACAGAGTTAGTGGGAATGAAGTTTATACGTGAGCAAGTAGATTTGCTTTTAGCTCATCCCACGGATGATGTTCGCTTTATGGGGATATGGGGGATGGGCGGAATTGGCAAAACAACCATTGCTAAGCTAGTATATGATAGCATTTCTACCCATTTTGAATCTAGCAGCTTTCTTGCTAATGTTAGAGAGGTTTCTAAACGTGGTCGTCTTGTTGATCTACAAAGGCAACTTCTTTTCCCAATCTTAAAGGA